TGCTTTGCCTCTATATTTGCTCATAAGTTAAGTGGCTGCGGACGGCATGTGAAATGGCTACAGATGAAGCATGAAATGGGTGCAATTGAAACCGAACAGCTGCATCCTCCTCTAAAACGCTTATGCCTATCCCCCTACAGCCTTCGATGAAACCAGCTTATGAATATCTTTCACTCGCCTCTATAAAGGTACTCCAACAGTATTATATAATGTTCTTGGTCCTTAGCCAGTCATAAAAAGGGAATCAAATACATATTTCTAAAGCGATATTAATAAAAAGAATAAAATCAAGCTCCTTAATCTCGGAAAACGTAATGAGGCTAATATGAAAGAAGGATACTTTAACGGCACAAATAAAATATAACTGGCTAAAGGCTAAACAATTTAGGTTCTGCCGTAGAATAACTAAAACAAAAAAGTATGGTGTAGAAAAACGATTAAACATAAATTTAGAAAAGTGCATTGATCTCGTTTTCGCTACTTGGTCTTGTTGTCAAGGTGACCGAGTTGAACTCACCTTGTCTTAGGTCTTCTTCCATAGTAGTTATCCTAATTCCCAGCATCAGACATTCTCAGACGTTTCGCCGGCATCTTAGTCGCATCATCAGTGAGCATTGCCATTCTCCACACCAAGTTACGAATAGGTCAGGGACAAGTGAAGTCAATTACTCGACCAACGTTCTGCCGAAAACTGTTACAATACCACTCTCTTCGAATACATTTGTCGCTTTGACGAGTTTGTAGCTTGGTGCGGAGAATGGCAAAACTCATAGATGATGCTGACTACGATGCTGGCGAAACGTCTGAGAATGTACCAATTCCAATTCAACTAAGTCGCCCTGACAAGATCAAGTTGAGAAAACTACGTTAACCCACTTCTATAAAAAGAAAGAGACTGCGACCATACCGAGGGCCACACCATCTTGGTCTTCCTATCTTCGATAAATTAAAATGTAAACAAGTGAGAAGTTGTGATAGGGCGGCAGTGGTACAAGAGTGTAAAGAGTAGATTAATAGACAATGACAGAAAGAGGAGTGATAGTGTAACCGTTTTCGGCAGAACGGTTGTCGAGAGATTGACTTCACTTGTA